CAGGGTGTTTGCCCCATTCAGACTGGGGAGTATGGTGAGGTGGCAGACACCAGTGCAGGGCTCTCTCCACCCTGACTATTGGCAAGTCAGCATGTGCATGCTCCTTGCAAGTAGAGTCTAGGCTGCTCTAGCCCTTCTGTCTGTCCCAGTGGTTCTCCCAGAAGGTAAGGGGGCTTGTCTCCTCTGCGTAGGATCTTCGGACTGGGAAGCCCAGATTGTAGCTCAACCTGCTTGCTCTCCAAGGCAAGGGTCCTTCCATGCAGACCTTCTCCTTTCAGATCCTTCCCAGGGGTGCAGGTCCTGACCTGATATCTTTTTGTTCCATCCTACCCAGTTATATGAAAATATTTCTTGCAGCTTTGGTTGTATAGGAGTTCTTCTGTCAGTTTCCAGTTAGTTTTCCATGAGAATTACTCCACATGTAGATGTATTTTTGATGTGTTTGTGGGGGAAGGTGAGCTCCATGTCTTCCTACTCTACCATCTTGATCCTCCTCCTTGCTTTTACATTTTTAAACGGTTGAAAAAATTTTTCAAAGAATGACACTTTAAGACATGAGAAAATTATATGAAATTCAAATTTCAGTGTCCATAGATCAATTTTTATGGCAACACAGCCACACTGGTTTGTTTTCATATTGTCTATGGCTGCTTTCATACTACAGAGGTGGACCTGAGTGCTTGCAAAACACAGTAGATGGTATGTGACACAGATCACCTTGCACTACTTTGGTGCACTGCAAATTGCAGTGACACAATTATAATCTGATAGAATTCTGAGTCCTATGTGTATTGTCACATCATGGCATTTTATTATTTTTTATTTCCAGCAGAAACCCATCATGTCAAAACAAGAGAAAAAAAGAGAAAAGTGAACTTCGAATGTTGTGTTTTTAAGGCACAGTGGAGTGTGGATTACACCGCTACTGAATTAGATGGTAATGCATTATGTTTATTATGCAATGACAGAATACAAAGATACATTAACATTACCAGACTAAGCACTCATCACAATATTTTCAACTCACAGGAAAGCAATGGTCAGAAAAATCAGAAATTTAAAATTATAGCAGAATGAGGTTTTACTTACAAAAGTAAGTTTCTGAGTGGCTCATCTGTTATACAAACAAAGAAAGCTGTCTATTGGTAATGGATTAACTAAATCATTTTAGATTGCAGTAGCTGAAGAAATGTGTCCAATAAAAAACTTGTTTAAGACAATTAGCCTTTTGGCAAGAACAGTTGCTTAAAGAGTTGAGTGTGTTGGGAATAACACCAACAGTTAATTTAAAACAAGGCGAATACTTTTGAGTGGTTTTCTTTGAGTGTTGATAAGTCAACAGATGTTACTAATACAATTCAGTTGTTTATTTGAGGAGTCAATGGCAAGTTTGAAGTGATAAAGAATTAGCTTCTACGAATAGTTTGCATGAAACAACTACAGGCTAGAATATTTTCAAAGACATTAGTGAGAAAGCAATAATCCAATACAATGTATTTTTATACCACATTGGGGTATAAAAATATCTATGGGGAAAAATGGCTTGGACAAATTTACAAATTTACTTAAAAATGTAAGTTGTTTAAAGCCTATGAGTATTCACTGTATTATTCTTTTGCAAGTATTTTGCACACACACACACACTTGAATCATGTGTTTTAGAACCAATAGTGTTAATGGTGAACTTCATTTTCTCCAGTGGATTTAACCATTACTGGTTCTGAGTTTTTATCAGGAACAGTAGCTAAAAATCCTGACTTGCCCTACTACACAGCAGGTTAATGGCTTAGCAATGGTAAAGTTTTATTATGATATTTTGATCTCAGAGCCAAGACTGAAATTTTTCTAAATCAAAATTGCCCTCAACTACCATTATTATTATTATTATTATTTTGGCTGTGCTGCGTGGCATGCGGGATCTTACTTCCCTGACCAGGGATCAAACCTGTGCCCCCTGCATCAGGAGCACAGAGTCTTAACCACTGGATTGCCAGGGAACTCCCTCAACTACCATTATTAAACACTGAATGGCTTTAGAAATTAGCTTTTGCTGCACATTTGATACTGTTTCTTAATAAATTCAACCTAAAATTATAAGGCAAAAGCAGAACTTATTTGAAACTGTTGGAAGGAAGGAAGGAAGGAAGGAAGGAAGGAAGGGAGGAAGGGAGGAAGGGAGGGAGGGAGGGAGAAAAGAAAAGAAACAACAGGCCCAAAATGGAGTCACTTGTGCTAAGCCTCACATCAACAAACCAAAACTTAATAACTAACCTAACTGCAGTTTCAGCTTCTCCCAAGAGTGGAATTTTAAACCAATCAGTCTGGAATTTCCTGATCAACAGTAATGAGGTAATCTGCATGATAGATTGATCACCCTCCACCCCCCCACCCCCACCTCCCTCAAAGGAAGGTGACCTTGCCTGAAATAATCCTTTCTTTTGTTTTTGACTTTCTTGTCCCACCCTTTTTCTGCCTTCAAAAACCTTCCATTTTGTACAGCTCCTCAGAGCACTTTTCTACTTTCTAAATGGGATGCTGCCCAATTCATGAATCATTTAATAAAGCCATCCCCACATAAATTTGCAAGGGATACTTTTTCATAGCCTAATCTATAGTTCTAGCATAGTATTTTGGACTACTCCCCTTGGGCAAGCCCTGGTCTTGACTTCTGCCCCTATGCCCCAGTAGAAAGCCATAAAGAGCCCAAGTTTAATCAAGGGAAGAAAAATGCCCTCAGTGCAAAAGTGGTTTTGGCCCACAACTGCTCCTAAATTCCCTTTTTTTTCCCCAACTTGTCTGATAGTTCCTTTAAACTGTTCAAAGAACAGTTTAAAGGTGATTTACATTTTAACCAGCATTTTTAGTTGTTTTCAAAGGAAGAGTTCTTTCTGAATAACTTGCCCACCAGTAATAGAAACAAAAGTCTGAGCAACTGTAAGCAGATAGAATAGGGAGTCTCCAGAGAAAGAGAAACAGGCATGGCCTTCTTGACAGGTCATTTTTGGCCTAGGTCATTTTGTGATCTAAGCCTGGCCACACTGCTTGTCCTTGTACAGGTCTCAGTAATTAATGACCTTAAGGAAACAAAAGAATGCAGAATCAAATGACCTAAATCAATTGTAAAATCTCCCAGTTCTGTTTTAGTGGTAAAGATTAGCCAGAAGTGCTCAACTACCATATCAACTGGAACCTAATGGATGATGATTTTGACCTTTTCTGACCCTTGTGATTTCAATCAACTAAAGCTTGGACTCTGTTGACTTTTGCCCTAATTCTATGCTGAATTCTCTTCTGCCCAAGCCCCTTCATGAATATATGCCCTTAGCTTAAAACTTCCCCAATTTTGCTATTCGGGGAGACACTGGTTTGGGAAAGGTCCCTGGTGTTCTCCTTACTTGCTTCAAGTAATATAAATCCTTCTCCCAATCTTTGGCTTGATTGTGTCTTTTGGTTTGACACCCACCAAGAGGTGAACCCAGTTTACAGGTAACACAGTTACTTTTTAAAGCACCAGTTGTCCTTTTTTCATAGTTATGCAGCAGCTAATGACAGCAGTCCTCCTAAAATGCAAGAAACTAAACAATAGTTCCTAGCAAACCATGTGGATGAAGTGTAGCCCCACAGAGAGTTTCTATGTGAACCCAGAGCTACGGCATCGCCCACCTACATAAAACTAAGTAACACAGAGATAGTAAATGGCATGATTGATTAACATACCATTTAAAATATCAGTAGTTATCTGGAAAGAATTAGGTTGCATCCCCACCTCACTTCTTATACTAAAGTAAACTTTACACAGATTAGGAGTTAAACATAAAAAATAAACCCACTAATGTACTAGAAAAATATATTGGAAAACTTTTTAACTTTAGGGAGGATTTCTCTATGCTAGAAAACTCAGAAGTCATAAAAGAAAATGCTGGTAAATTCAGCTGCATAAAACAAAATAACAACAAAAACTTCTTCATAGCAAAAAACCTAAACATACTAAAAAAGCAAGTAACAAAGACATCAAAGTGGAAAAAATATCTCAACTCACATCACTGACCAGTAGTTCCCAAACTTTAGTGTACATCACAGCTACCTGGAAACCCCCAAATTGGTGGATTTCTGATACAAGGTCCTGTATAATGCACGATAATTTGCATTTCTTACAAGTTCCCCTGTAATGCTCATGCTGCTGGTCCAGGAATCACACTTTAAAAACCACTCATAGACAAAAGGCTAATTGCTGCTTTCATATGTAGACAGGTATTAGATCCTATATTAAAATAATTAGAAAAAGACCAATGTACTAATGGAAAATACACAAAGAGCTTGAACAGACAGGTCAAAGAAAAGGAAATACAAATGTCCTCCAAACGTATGAAAATATACTCAAGACCCCTCAGTATGAGAGAAAAGCATGTTTTCAAAACATAACAAGATACCATTTTTCACCTTTTGGGGTAATAATTAGTGCTGGCAAGGGTGTGGGAAAACAGGCACTGTCACACATTGCTGTAAGGTATGTAAATTGTTATTGCCTCTGTGTAAAGCATTATCTACCAAAATTTTAAATGCATATGTCTTTTGAACACTGTGAAGAATTTACCATAGAAACATTCATATTTACACATGTAAAAAATGGCAAAGGTATAAAGACATTCGCTCGCTGCAAGCAGTGTATTTAGAAGCACAATACTGGAAGAACCTAAACTCCCATCAACGACAGATTAATTGAATAAATTACAATACACAGTGGAATATTATATAGCTGTTAAAAAGGTAATCCTGTACATTTTGATATGGAACAAACTCCAACTTAGGTTTTTAAGAGAAAAACCCAAATCTTATAAATAGTTGTTAATTCTATTAATTTTAAGCACCTATTATGTTCATTTGTTACACCATAAGCAGATAAAATTTTAAACTAAGGGGTTTTTTTTTAAGTTTTTCTTATGTTTCCCTAAGGACAAATTCAAATTCCAGCCTATGCAATTACTTTAAGAATTGCTTACCTGACTGAACGATCATCACTTCCAGTCACAGCCAAAGGTTTAGTAGGATGGACGGCAAGTGCCCAAAGTTCACCTTCACAATGCCCTTGCATAATTAGGAAAGGTTTGTTTCTTTCATGCACCACAATTTCAAAAATTTCGCTGTCCTGTGTTCCAACTAGAATGTGGTCACCTCGCCAACAAACACTCCTTACAGACAAACCTAGTCAAATTGAATTGTATTTAAGATCAGTACTGTAATAACAGAATGCCAATCTGCCTAAACCACTGTTATTTTTTATACCTTAGATATAAGATAAAAGGATTCTGAAAGTCTTGGATCCACACATTTTCTTCATTTATCTGTACTGTTTTCTATGTGGACTATTTCTATTTCTATATACTTAATTTCTACCCATCCTTCAGGAAATACACTCTTCTTCCTTACTGGACAACATCAGTCATAGTCTGATCACTTCCTCAGCCAAAGGCTTATTATAACAACAGTGTGCATCATCCACAGAGTAATTATTCAGAATTCAAGAACTGTACTATTTTTCTCTTATAATAATCTGACTTTTCTCGTGTTTATATTTCATTTCTTCAATGTGCTCATAAAATCATCAAGAAGAGAGACTTCTACTTTTTCTATATACAATCCCTTTTGTAACCTCAGGAAAGCTAGTGTTTTCCTCAGTTTTCTCATCTATATAGTATGGTCAACATTAAGCTCCTGTGTAACTTACAATGTAAGAATCAAATAAGAAAAAGTGTCAAATTATTTTGTAAACTTTAAAATACAATAATGCTCAGCAAAACTAATGAAAACGGTATAACAGTTAACACTTACTGGATGATCGTTATGTGCCAGACACTCTTCTAAATATTTTACATATATTAGCTCATTTAATTCTCTGAAATAGCTACTCTTATTCTCATTTTACAGATGAGGTATGCAGCTCAAGGTCACACATCTAATACTTCCAGTCCTCTCTTATAATACCACACTAGTGGATAATACATTTACTTTTATAGTGAAAGATTCTGTTTTATTACATCAATTTTTAAAAACCTCCCCAAAGAAAAAATTATCTCCTGATTGCTGACAAATTTGGATGAAGGAAAAACACATATACGTGAATTTAATCCTAAACAAAAGTTCCCCTAGCTCTCAACACACTATTTTCAACAGTTTATTTGCTAAACAGTTACATTTAGCATTCTAATAGTAAAATATTTTCAAAATTTAAGGTTACCAAAGTAAGTACCTATCACGTCTCTCTGTAGGTCCCATTATAACAGGCATTAGACATGAAAAGAACCTCTGTCATAACACTAAACATAGATGGTCTTCAGGCAAAATTTCTCCTCTTCAGCAGAAGGATTTTAATTAAAATGTATGAAGGAGCAAATATAAGTCTCATTTATTTTACAAAACATACTTTTAAGTTTACTGAAAGAAACCAACAACCCTTGGTATATTTAGAATTTGCCTAGTAATGAGATATTTGTTCTGTTATTACCTTTGTACCCCTGGTCTGTCTCCCTGAGATCAATCACAGTTATTGGTTTAAAAGTTAAATCCCAAAGACGAATACAGCCATCTCTGCCACCAGTAGCAAAGCCTTCTTCACAAGCATTCATGCTAAAAATTCCCGCCTAGAAGAGGGAATAAAATAATTTAACAATATATACTTTTTAAGAAAATACACTATATATGATGGTAGAAATCCACTGAAAATTTTTTTGATATGGCATAGGAATAATCAAATACATCAGAAAACACAAATGATAATCTAGAAACAAATATATGCATATACAGGAACTCAATACGTGACCAAGGTGGTATTTAATGATATGGGCATAACATAAAAGAAAATTCAGTTAAACCTTATACCATATATAGAAATGAATTACACAAAAACAAAAACATGCAGACCAAATTCTAAATGTAAAAAATGAAACAAATATATTAGAAGAGTCAGAACACTTACGTAACTTTGGGCTGTGAGAGAACTTTTTAAGCATGGCAGGTTACCCACCAAGGCATAAAGGAAAAATTTTCAATTTTTCATATGAGAAAAGATATTGTAAAAAAACAAACTGGGGAAATATTTGCATTGTGTATGACTGTCAAAAGGTTAATATCCCTAATATGAATAATACTGAATATGAATAATATTGGATAATAATATTGAATATGAACAAATGAATAAAGGAAAGAAAATCCAACAACAACAGTAACAAAAAAAGAGTACAGGATAAGAAAAGCCAATTAATAGAAAAGGAAATTCAAGTACAGTTGACCCTTGAACAATGCAGGTGTTAGGGGTGCCGACCTTTGTGTAGTTGAAAATTCTAGTAAAACTTAGAATTGGACCTCCACATCCAAGGTTCTCCATATCTGCAAGTTCTGCGGTATCCATGGATTCAACCAACCACAAATTGTGTAGTACTACAGTATTTGCTATTGAAAATAATTTGCATACAAGTGGACCCTTGTAGTTCAAACCCATGTTGTTCAAGGGTCAACTCTAGTCAATAAATACATGAAATTTCACAAATAGACAGGAAAGCAAACTAAAACAAATAGTTATTATTTTTCACCCAGAAGACAAGCAAAAATTTACAAGAGTGGACACAACCTCTGCTGATGAGTATGAGGAAGAAACTGGTATTTTTATATATTGATGGTGAAAATGTGAATTGCCAAAACCTTTGCTAGAATCTGCTATTTCTGGTCTTTAGGCATTTTGCTTAAAGCAAGTCCTGCTCTAAGTGGTTCTTTAATATACTTAATATGTAATATATATTGAATAGTGATTCATATTAATATATGTAATCACTTTTCTACTTGAGATTGTCCTGCTACCAATATGGCAGCTCTGTGCTCTCTAGCTCCCCTCACTATGTGAGGGACTCAACTGCTAAAAAAGCCCAAATCAAAAAACACTAAAAGGTTTTTGTTTGTTTTTTTTTTAAACTGTTTTTGGCCATAACACATGGCATGTGGGATCTTAGTTCCCCGACCAGGGATCGAACCTGGGACAGCCAGGGAAGTCCCTAAAAGGGACTAAACACTAAAAGGCTTTAACAACAGCTTTTTTTTTTCTTCCTGATAACTTATTTATATGAAAATCTCATGAAGTACAAAAATTAAATTCCTCTGCCACTCACTTAATGAATCAATGATATTAAAATTAAAAGTTAATTTTATCCTAGAGCTATCCCCAAATTTCCCACTGGTAAATTGGCTACAAAAGCACTAGTTTTATTCTAATGTGGTTAATCTAGGATACTTTTAGGTTAAATCTAACAAACTTTTTTTCAACAATGAAAAAGACACCATACTAAAGCAATGGTTTGAACAAAGTAATAATTATACTAATTTAATTGCATAATGTTTCTTCATTGAAATCTTGAAAACAAATAGACAAATTAATTCAATTGTAATAGTAGTTTTCAAGTTACTGAATTGAACAGAAAGTCTGCTATATTATGGAACCTTTTGTTCTAAGACAAGAAGGTAAGTAATTAATACCTAAAAGTATTTAAAATATTTAAATATACTTACAGTATGAGCTCCTTGTATTGTTCGTATAAGATTAATTCCTTTCCAAACATATATATCCCCATTGAGTGCACCAGAATACGTTAATTCATCCCTTGCACAGGCCAGGCACAATATTGTCTGAAGGTCACCAGTCTTACCAAAGACCCCTCGTTTGGGGGTCAGAGCATTTCCACATAAACTCCAGAACTAAAAAGTACATAATATAATCGAATTACCAAAGAATGCTCATAATATAACCAAAAACATTTCCAATACTTTGATGCTATATTAGAGCAGCAGACTAGAAATTACCTAAGAAACTCCCTTATGATACAATAGCGTTCAATGTTCACACCCTTATCTTAGTGTTGTCATTAGCTATGTTATAGCAGATAAATCACTGTTTCAATCCTTACTGTAAGAATAAGGGGGGGTTGAACTAAATTATTTTAAAAATATGCTGTGTTTCCCTTAGGTTTCTGAAAAAAAAACTACATAATTTTTTTAGACAGATTAAAAGGGTTAGCAATGAAAATGAAGCTAATATTCATTTCTTCAGTCACACTGGCAGTCACATTTCAAACGCTCAAGAGCCACATCTAACTAGCGGTTACTCTATGGGACAGCACTGATGTGGATTCTAGAACAATGGTTCTTAACTCCTGCTGAGCATCAAAATCATTTGGATACCTGGGCTTCACTCTCCTGAGATTCTGTCTCAATTTATTTCAGTGGGGGTTCAGGTATATTGTGTCATTAATTTCCCCCAGGTGATTTTAATATGCAGCCAAAATTGAGAATCACTAATTTAGAAGAAAAAAATAGACTGAAATTGGGACTTACTGAAAGGAAGAGAACCAGCTATACTTATGCACAGAAATCACGGAGATTTTTAAATTTAAAAATCATACATTGATTAAAGCATTAATTAGCTATTTGAATGGATAAGTGATCATTTTTAGTTCTTTAAGGCTTCAGATTTTAAACTTAGATCTTTAGGTCTTAGAATAAGATCCTGAAGATCAGGTAAGATATTTTAAGTACATAATATTAATAAAATCATATTACTTTAAGTGGTAATTTACTTATTATAAAGTTGAACTTATTCTCTGGACCTAACTTCTTTGTGCAGAACTATGTAATGTGTATACTCCTGCCCTGCCCCATATTCATTTCTTTCTTTCTGCAAACATTAACTTTACCTGAATCCACATAAAAGAACAAAAACCCTCATCATGAAGATTTATGTTTGACTTCCCTATCTTCTTCCAAAAATGAACAAATTATTCCAAATGTGTATCTTTCTTATTTTTAAGCTTTACAAGTAAAGGAATTGCTCAGCTTTGAAAATATCGGAGAGCACCATACTAATCTCTTTTTCATCCACCTCTCTGTTTCTCTCTGTCTCTCTGTCTCTCTCTCTCTCTCTCTCTCTCTCTCTCTCTATATATATATATATATATATATACCCACGCACGTATATATACACACACAAATATGTGTGCGTGTATGTGTGTGTGTGTGTGTGTGTATATATATATATATCCTAAATTGTAGTGTGATATGTGCTTAGTGGCAGAGAATAAGTAATCATGACTATTATAAAGCAAGACCCTTCTAGTACCTTGATATGTTTTACACCACAGCTGACCAGTTTATTTGGCTGGTACACATCCCAAGAAATATCAAATATCTGTAAACAAATCAGATTCATGGTTAAAATACTTATTTTCAGAATCATTTAAGAATTCTGTCCAAAAGCCCAAAGAGCCCCAAACCCTACATATCATAAAACAATATTCCTCAATAAATAATAATCAGAACCCTACACTTCAAGATCCTCTGAGAAATAAAGTATGTAAATGATAAGGAATAAAAACGATTTCTTAGTTTCTATGAACCATATGAAACTACTAGTGGAGTGAAAATTAACACCTCTTTCTAATTTTTAAAAAAAATTTGGTCTATAAATAGCAAGAATGATTCAACAGAAACAGGGAATGAGGCAGGTAAGTGCATAATTTCTAAAGAGGAAAGATAATTAATAGAACATACATAACATTTATACAGCCAGAAATAGAGACATTTTTGTAGCTTTCTATCACACAGAATTACTTACATAAAAGATCCAAACATTTATTTCACAGTAAAAATTCTGTTTCTAGCTTTCAGGTTTTTTTAATTGTTTATGGGTCAAACAAAACTAACTTACATTTTGGAGATCCCCAGGCTTCATTTTTTTCTAAGGTTCCATAAATTATAAATACACACAAACAATTTTTGTTACAAAATCAAACAAGAAAAAACCCAGCTGAAATAAAATATGCATTAAATATATACTTAATAATAAATGAAAGAAAAATTAATATTTGAAAAATAATCTCATAACAGATAAAAAACAATTCTGCTATCTGGTAGTCTTTACCATGTTTCTTTGATATCTGCCTGCATAATCACCTAATAGGCTTACTACCTCTAAAAATTTACCAAGTGATAGTCTTTAGTGATAATGAAGAAAGAATACATCTTATAAATTAACATTTAACAACTCACCATACATTTAATATACAGATTAAATTAAAAAAAACATACTGATGCACCTTTAAAATACTAACCACAAAAATACTTTGCAAAAATTCCAATGACAGTACCATTTTTCATAGTAATCAGTCTACTTACTAAGTCCAAAGTACTAATGTGTGAAATGCTTTGATCTAAGTAAGTCAGAATACACAACTGTCTAATAAAATGTACCTAACACTTTAATAATTATCTAAATTGTGTTTGCGTATAACAGGCCCCTCTGAGAATCTGCTGAAAACCAAGTTTATTTTCCAAAATGCAAATACGTTAAAATTTTTTATACAACTTTTACAGATTCATAGATTTTCCCCAAATTGAATCAACGACTGTAGCTCCTGTGTTGGTTCAGGTTAGGTGGTTATGCAGACAGGTGTCAAAGAAACATGGTAAAGACTACCAGATAGCAGAATACAGCAGATACACCAAAAAATCAGACATTTTAAAGAGCTTAAGACAAAGTATTCATTATATTAATTTCATACAACTTGGAATAAGGAATGTATTTTTAACAAGTTTCCAAAGTGGAAAATGTTAGGTCTCTAACATAATTTCAAATTCATACGTGCAACAGTATTCACCTTAACTATGATGCGTATGTAATAAATCAGTGATAAATCAAACTGAATAATAAATAGAGCCTAGGCATGAACCATTCAATTTCTAAATTTAGGTTTGAATAACTTAAAACTCATCATTTTTGCCAAAGCAAACACTGGGTTAAAGGTTTTATGCTAAAACTATACATATCAAGTCATGTTTTTGAGTACAATATATATACACATTCTAAAATTTTATGAGTATTTATAACTGCATTTAGAATTTTAAATTACACATGAGCAATTGGCAATAATAAAACACAGAAACATAAAATCCCCTGACTCTTCTCTGGCTTTTTCCCACGCAGTACCCATTAGAAACTCCAAAGGAAAATACTTACTCTATCTGTGTGACCTGGAGCCATAGATAACATTTTTCCCCTTTTCCAATCCCAAATGCAAACTGCATTCTTTGAATCAAGTCCAACTGAAACCAAGCGCTGAATTATGTCCAAGAAGACCAGGGAGCAGGGGGAATAAAAAAGTAAACAAATAAAAAAGGAACCAAATTATAAATGGCAAACAAATTCTACTCATGGGTACTATAAACATCAAAACTTACACACTTATATTTTATAGACCTCATAGAGAAAGGCTGGATGTATTTCGTCTTGTTAATATTTGCATATATGTGTAGTTCTTCATATAAGAAACAGGAGAAAGACTTCCATTTCTAACAGTAGGATTGACAGAACACCCTAAACATCTGTCCTGCCAAAAATTAAAAATGCTAGATAAAATGAAAAAACATCTTTTTAAATGCACTGTTGAGCTGTCAAGGAATTAAGAAATCTGAGAACAAAAACAAAGTGATTTCCTATGGGAATCCTGGAAGTAAGAGAGCTCCTATACCCACTTTACTCTAAAGGTATCAGCTAACTCCTGGTAAGCCTGATTTTTGTTCTTCAGGCTAAAGAGGAATAGGAGATAAAGTTTAGGGCCTACCCAAGGTAGGGATTTGAATTGCAGACATTTGACTAAAGCAGTAACTACTCCTCAGAGTAAGGGAGAACAAGAAACCATCCCTTTTCAAAGAAAGGGGCAGTGATGCATGAAGGGGGAAAAAACCCTCCTGAAAATATGTAGCCACAAACAACCTTCACATGGTTGCAAGGCCTATATCCACATGAACCATGAATCCTTCAAATGAAAAATTTCATTCAGAGTGGTCCTAAGGGTTGCAGAGTTTTCAAGCATTTTCAACTATGTGGCACAGGCAAATATAAATCCTATATGGAGGACTGAAACATCAATCCATCCCTCGAAGAATTCCTACAAGTAGCAAGTCAACAAAAAAATAAACTTAAAACAAACAACCCCCCCACCCAATAACCAGAGGAAATAAGGGACCATGAGTGAGAATCAGCAAGTCACCAGAAACAAAAAAATCAGTCTTGAAAAGTATCAGACATTGGAATTATCAGATAATATAAAATAAGCCTAATGTGAGCAGAGCAATAAAATTAAGGCTTCAAAATATCTTCATATGAGACAAGAATGGGAGACCATAAAAAGTATCCCAGCAAATTTAAGGAAGCAAACCATTTCTAGAAATGAAAAATAAACGAAATTAAAAATTCAGTGGAAAAAAGAAAAAAATACCTCAGTGGAAGAGTTATATAGGAGATTAGAGGGAGATGAAGAGACTGAGCTGAAAAGAGGGGACAGTGAGATGAGAAGTATGAGAGAGGTTAGGAAACATGAAAGATGGCCTTTGGTCATGAAGGAATATCAGGGTCTGAACTTGCCCCCCTGCCATAAACAACTAGAAAACTGTACAAAATATATAAAACAAATATTTTTGGACATTCTTAACAGGAAGTGAAGCACTGTAAACCCTGAATGAGGGGGAAGCAAACAAGGTAAGTTCTGCAATTGCCCCAGTCTTCATTTAGGTGGCATTTTCCAGACTATAGCACAGAAAGGTGGAAGCCAAACAGAGCCCAGAAGACTTGCTGATTTGAGAAGACAGAGCCTGGAGTTCAGAGAGGCCAAGATGGCTAGAATTTGCAGAGCAGAAAAAGAACTCTAGAAAGTCTGTTTATGGGTCCCCTTGAGAACACCAGTGTTTGCATGTATAAGGTGAAATCCATGAGGCCATGCAAAGAACAAATTCTGAAAAAAGAATAATTACTGGGGAGCTAAAGCCAAACAATTCCCAGAGATCATAAAGGGTCAGGATCACTCAAATTCCCAATAGCAAGAATGGAGGTATATCCTCGAATTCACTGTGTATTCAGTAGAGATTCCAGGAGGGTCACACCATAGTAGTGAAGTTAAACCAGTGGTCCTAGAGGAAAAGCTACTCTAGCCTTGACCAAAAAAATCTTGAAAGCAAGCTTTTCAAAAGGACCAAACTGATCCACAAGGAACTTAACTACCTACAAAAACAATGTCCAACATGCTTTAAAGGGATACAACAAAATCCAGCATTCAGAATGTAATATACACAATGTCCAGCATCCAATAAAAAAAATTACTGAACATGTTAAAAAAGAGGAAAATGTGACCAATAACCAGGAGAAAAATCAGTTAATAGAAACAGACCCAGGAATCACAGAAATGATTAAAATTAGAAGATACTGGCTGTTAACATGGAAATGTTCAAGATGCTCCAGAATTATTTTAAAACAAACACATAGGGCTTCCCTGGTGGCGCAGTGGTTAAGAGTCCGCCTGCCGATGCAGGGGACACGGGTTCGTGCCCCGATCCGGGAAGATCCCACATGCCACGGAGCGGCTGGGCCCGTGAGCCATGGCCGCTGAGCCTGTGCATCCGGAGCCTATGCTCCGCAATGGGAGAGGCCACAACAGTGAGAAGCCCATGTACAGCAAAAAAAAAAAAAACAAAAAAAAAAACACATAAAGAATAAAAAGAGAAATGGAAGATATAAAAGAAAAACATGTTGAACTTTAAATATAAATGTTAAATTATCTGAAATGAAAATTCACTCCAAAGGATTACCAGCAGCTTAGACAATGAAGAAAAAATAAATGAAGTTGAAGACACAGCAACAGAAACTATCAAAAATAAAGCACAGAAGGAAAAAGGGAACAAAGTAAACAGAGTTACCTTTAGAAAAATTTCAAGTGGTCTAACGTACAGGTAATTGTGATTCCAAAAGGAGAAGAAAGATGGAAGAAAAGAAAAACAAAACTGAAGAAATAATGGCCAAAACTTTCTCAATTTGATAAAAAACATAAACCCACAAATCTAAGATGCCTGATAAACTTCAAGCAGGATAAATCACACACACAGAAAAAACACATCCACACACATGGGCATCAAACTGCTGAAACCAGTGCTAAAGAGAAAAACCTTAAAAGTGGCCAAATAAGAGAGAGAATTTTGGTGTGTAAGGACAAAGATTTAAAAATAATCCTGGGCTTCTCATCTGAAGCTATGCATATCAGGTGACAATGAATAACCTCTCTAAAGTGCTGAGGGGGAAAAAAGTCAACACAGAATTATATACTTACCAAAAAATATCTTTTGAAAACTGGGTCAAAATTAAGTCTTTTTCAAATAAACAAAAGATGAGAAAATTCATCAACAAATCAGCACTATAAGATACGATACCAGAAGTTTCTTCAGGCAGAAGGAAAATGATACCAAAGAGAGACTTAATTTACACATATCAATGAAGAGTACCCAAATGATAAATATGTAAATAAGACTTTTCTTACTTTTAATTTTCTTTGAGAACTAACTGTTTAAGGAAAAAAATCACAACAGCTATGATGGAGTTTACAAAGCATGTAAAATGAATGAAAATGAAGTAAGTAAAATGAATGACAACAATAGCACAATAAACAGGAGAAGAAAGAAATAGCAGAATACATATTTTCCCATATTTTTTCAAAGTGCACAGGAAACCTCATGAAGATCACAAAATTGTGAATTACAAAATAAGCCTAAACAAATTTTTAAAAATTAAAATACAGAGTATGTTCTCTGACAAAGACAGAATGAAATCAGAGTAACAGAAAGTTATGCAGAAAATCCTCCAAATATCTGGCAACTATCACTACAATTCTAAGTAATGGCAGAGTTAAAGAAGAAATCACAAGGACCTACCCAGAACACATACTTTGAAAAGCACTGGTTTAGAAGCAGGGGTAGGCAAATTATAACCCTCAGGCCTGTACCCTGCTTTTTGTAAATAAAGTTCTACTGGAACACAGCCACACCTATTCCTTTATAAGGTGTCTATGACTGCTTTCACACTACAATGCAGAACTAGAGTAGCTGTGACTCCAGCTACTGGAGTAGCTGAGACTGCATGGCTCAAAAGCTTAAAATATTTACTATCTGACATGTTGTAGAAAGTTTTGCCAATCTCTGGTTTACAGCACAGATTCTGATACCAGACTGCCTAGGTTTAAATACCAGCTCCATCTCTCACTAACTGGATGACTTTGGGCACGTTATTTAGCCTCTCTGTACCTTAGGTTCCTCACCTCCTAAATAGGGATAATGAAAAAAAACCTCATAGGGTTAACATATATAAAGGAATTAGAAGAGTGCTTGGCGTAACCTTAATGTTACATAAATGTTTGTTATCATCATCATTATTATTATGTTCCCATAACCATAATTAACTTTAAGAACCCATGCCCTCCACCCGTCTGAATGAGAAATGTCATTTAGTACCTAGCTAGAAAGTTTCCACATAGTAAAATTACTATCTAAGTCCCCAAATGGGTAGAATCAATGGCTTACATAAAAAGATACAGAATATATTTTGTATCTGGCTCTCCATGAAGTCACACTTGCAGAAAGTCCGAATGAACTAGAGGAGATGATTTGCTCCTCCTAAGAGTCTTTAATATTTGGGAACTAGAGAGTATAATCAGCAAATATCTAGCTAAAACAAAGATATCTACCTCTCGCTAGAGTATACTATGTAGAGATTAAAATTCACAAGACAAGTATAAAGTGAGGAATAGTCAGAGAGGCACTGCCCTTTCTATCAATGCCTCTTCTCTCTGGCTAAGTTCATCACACACAAAGTGAACCACAACTGGCCAAAAGCTTTAAAACTCCATGTACCTCAATAGAGCCCCAGAGCATCTGGCTCTGCACAGGCAGTAACAAAATAGACCTGGGAGCACTTCCTCTGTAGCCCTGATAAACATATCATGGCCAAAATCAACCTCCCTAACAGGTTAAGTAACAGCAGAGAGGAAAAGATAAAAATAACCAAGCAAATACTACCCCCTCTCTAAGCTTTCTATCATTTTTTACTTCAACATCCTTTCTCACAGGTGAGGAAGAGCATAAAGAAAGTTTTCCAGTGAAAGCAATGCTGGAACCATATCTTAGAAGACAGAGACAGTCAGGTAGAAAAATAAGAGAAAATTCATTTAAGGCCAAAGGATACCAAGATCAGACAGCTCATGGTGCTTTCAGGAAAGAGCTAGTACTTTGGTGTGGCTGAGGGGAGGAGTTGCCAACGGGGAAGTGGCAGGAGACAAGACTGGAGAGGTAGGCCAGAAACAGGAGAAAGAATGAGCTTTGTTTTTTAATGAGTTAGAATAAAGAGAGAATTCAGTTTTAAACATGTAATAAATGGTATATCTATAAGACATTCATGGAGAGTATATGGAGGTGAGGAAAGAAGCTGAGGCCACTGTTAACTGACACAGGAGTTAAAGTCATGGATCTAGTAATCACCTAAAGAGAATAAGTGAAGTGAAGGGGGCTGGGGGAAGGAAGGCTACAGACTCCTAGGAACACTGACATTTAAGAAGCAGACAGAAGGAGCAGCTCCTTTCAAGATAACTAAGAACTAACAGTCAGATAGGGAGAAAGAAAACCAGATAAAGAAGGCTCTACCCAGCTTCCCAAATTCCTCCCTGATCCTATTCCCAAACAAAATTTTGGTTGTGTCCATTAATTAAACCGGAAGTATAGCTGACCTTGAACAACATAGATTTGAACTTCCTGGGTCCCCTTACACACAGATATTTTCCAACAGTAAATACTACAGTACTACAGGTTCACAGTTGGTTGAATCCACAGACGTAGAGGAACCGCGAATACGGAGGGCCGACTATAAGTTATATGCAGATTAACCCCTGCGTTGTTCAAAGGTCAACTGTATTTATTAAAAAGTTCTAGCACACTAAATACTCAAATGAGAAAACTATCTTAATAGGCACAATTAGACAAATTCCATGAGTTCCTGCAAGTGTGAAACATATTCAAATAATAGACAAACGTAAAAGATTCTAATATGGGGGTGGGGGGGGGTCCTTGTGATCTCAGTATTTATTAAGTGAGGACTAGTTGTTACAAATGTTACAAAGTAAAAATCACAAATTTTGCAAAATATCCAGGACTTAATGTAGTAAATATTGGTCAATTCATAAAGAAAGCCATCAGAAATTAGGATCTGGCAGAGCAATGGAAGAGATGAAAACTCAAAACTAATACAATAGGCACTTGAGATATGTCTAGATATCAAGAGATTACTAAAAGGTCCTTGGAAAACTCAGTGAACTCCTTTAATATTTTTGCAAATACGACTCTTCATAATCATGTACCACCATATAATTGACAAAGTTATGCTAAAAAATTAACATTTTATTCTTGGTTCATTCTATAAATTAGCAGAGTTTTAACTATAACTTAGATTTTGTTAAATATGGGAATGTGTTTTTATAAATTGTCATTGTGTTTTCAAGATAAAGTATCAAATTCTCCTCCTCCTACCCTCCCTCTACCATTTACTATGAAATTTTAATCTCTGTTTGATGTGGATTTATATAGCCTTTTCATGCCCTAATTATTCTCAATGAGGTAGACTTCCAGTATTAGCATGGATAGTCAATCCATTTAGAAGAAACCCTCTGGGGAAAGAAAATTCAGCACACTACCAACAGGGAGACTCATTCATTGGATAAACCTTAACTGATCATTTACAGTTTCAAATCTAGTAGAAAATGCAAAAATTATACAGTATTTCCTAATTGGTATTTCATAAACACTTTACAGATATTAGTGAATAAAGAGATATGTTCCCAAATATATTTCTTAACTAAAGCATCTTCTCGTTAACATAATTTCAGAAATACTCTTAACTTAATCTTCAATTGGCAGCAATTCCTTACAAGTTTTAACTGTACTTAAGATGGATGAATTCCTTCTGAAATATAAACAACCACCTCCTAAGTTCCATGTTTGGGAAGCAGTAGAGCATTGCGGTTAAAAACATGAGCTTTGGAGTGTGACTGACCTGGGTTCCCGCTCTGGCTCCATTTACTAGCTGTGTAACCTGGGGCAAGTTATTTAACCTCTCTAAGTCTCAGTTTCTTTATCTGTAAAATAGAGATAATAATAATATCTATTTCATAGGGTTGTTGTGAGGATTAAATGAGATAATGTAGGCTTAGCACAATGTCTGGCACTTAGTATGTGCTCAATAACTTTTAGCTATTATGTTTTATATAAGCTTACATTTTAAAGTAGCACATTCTTATGAAGATCTGTGAAAATAAAATGCATGTACCCAAGACTTTTCTTATATGTTGCTTAAAGTAAGCAAAATTAAAAGCTTCAACTAGTAAAAGCTATGGGCATGATTTCTCCTTGTATGTAAGAGAATTTCCTCAGCCACGCAATACACTGCATTTAGAAAGGGCAATTTTAAAATTAAGAAGAAAACATCTATATTTAAAGTATACAGACATTTATAGTTAAACCATTGTGGATATCATAATACCTTTGGTAAATTATTCTAAAAAACAACTTTGTTGGTTCGTTTCATAAAATATAATTTCCTGTGAAGTAAGCAAACAGTATTATTCTCTTCCTTTTAAAAAGGAAAATGAAATTTTGATACGAGGACATTAAGGGACTTGAAAAATAACAGAAAAAATGGGAAATGAATTAAGGTTCTGGAATTGCCAATCACTGCTACACAGTGGTTCTAAACCTAGAAACACATTTTTTCCCCAAATGAGAGGTTCGAGTTACATCTTTATAGATCTCTTACCGGACTCTAAACAGAAAGTATATTAATCTATGCTACTCAAAGAAGCTATTTCTCAGAGTTGAAAATAAAACATCTACTGGCTGTCATTTTCAAGTGACTAGAACAAAACGTAATCTGTTTCTGTAAAATATAGATCTACAAAATTAATTTTAAGAATTAAAAAGCAGACAACTAAAATTCTTCTAAAAGTTAAAATAATTTTTAAAGTCTAATTTCACTATAAAAATTTAAAGACTATAAATTAATTAAATCTGCAAAACCCAACTTCTTATCACTTCTTAAATATGTTTTAGGTACAACAAGTTCCATGAAAGCACCACAAAAGAGCTGTTGGCTTAATTTTTTAAAAATTGATGACTAGAAGTAAATAATAATTTGGGAATTGATTAGTAAGTGGAACAAAGATTACACCTTTTGTTATGAACTTTGATTTTATATAAAATAGCTCATATTATAAAAACTGCATCATTATTTTCAATTAAAAATATAATTTTGGGCTCTCCTGGTGGCGCAGTGGTTGGGAGTCCGCCTGCCGATGCAGGGGACACGGGTTCGTGCCCCAGTCCGGGAGGATCCCACATGCTGCGGAGCGGCTGGGCCCGTGAGCCATGGCTGCTGAGCCTGCGTGTCTAGAGCCTGGGCTCCGCAACGGGAGAGGCCACAACAGTGAGAGGCCCGCGTACCGCAAAAAAAAAAAAAAAAATTTTTAATAGAAACCTTTAAAATAACTAAAAATTAAAATGTTTACAGCTCTACTTAGAGAAAGTGAATTTTCCTAAGATATCTTCCATCTTCCCTATTAACATATAATACCTGGAAAGGAGTTCCATGTAAAATTTTCAAGAACAACCAGGTAATGTTCCACTGAGTCAGAATCACTTTGGCTCTAATAGTAGTAATTAATTCAACTGAAAAGTTCTTGATACAATGAAATAAAAACTCATTATAATTATTCTTATTTTTCTTATATATATCTACCACCCACTCCCTCTACCCACCTCCACCTTGAATAAATGCTTTTTGTCAAATGCTTTCCAATTTAATATTTACAGATTTATAATAATTTCTTACAGTACACACTTTAAAAACACAGTTTACAAAAAGAAAAAAAATTATCACATACCTGTCCATCTAAGTCAAATGCTAAGCAAGCTATACCATGTGTATGAACATCCTTTAGAACTGATATGGTCTGCACAGTGTATGAATCCCAAACACAGATATAAGGCTCTTTCCCAACTTGTCCTGTTGCCACCAATACTCGTTCAGGATGCAATGCAAGGCTGCAAAATAAATAAATAAACAGATTTAAAACTGCTTACAGAGCTGTTATATCAATGTGAAAATCAGACTTTAGTTACTTATTTACTTAAAATAATTTGGCCTTAAAGTAACTTCCATAAATATCCATCTTAAGAGTTACTACTTCAATGGCATATGTAATAAACAATTATGATAGACTTCATAATCTTGTAATATGATATAGTGTGTGTAAACTTTTCAAAAAAAGAATTCTCACAAGTAGTCAACTGAACCACAGCAATGAATCAGTAGCAACCCTACCACATGCCAACTTTTCATTTGGTATTCATCTCATCTGTTTTAAGCCCTCTCTCCCATTTACTCTTTTATTGTATAAAGTTAGACCAAATGTTAGTGTCCAAAAATAGCACTGAGTAGCCCTCCTATTATAACATTAATATTAAATTACAAATCCCATTTAAAAAAACAGAAAGGTCACCCATAATTCACAGAAAGCAGTCTGTAAGTCTTTAAAAACAAGACAAAGACCAAACAGTTGGTAATGGTTTATGTACATCAGTAGAAGGCAAGCAATGAATATAAATTTCTCCTTGATAAATTATTCCACAAGTATATTTAGATGATCAAATTCTCCTTTGGGAGAAAAAAAAATCACTCCGAGCATCAGGGTGGAAGATGAACTGAAAGAGGGAAAAGTTAGGAGGGCATTAAAACAGAATTAACAGATTTGATGTACAGAGTAACAGAAAGGGAACAGTCTAAGATGACTCTTGGGTTTTTGGCTTGGGCATCTGGATGGCCTGGAGTGGTATCATCAAGTCAGGGAATACTAAGTGAGAAATTATGGAGAGACAAGGTAAGCGGGAAGGGAAGGTTGGTTCAACATACTAAAATCAACCAATGTAATAAGTATATCATATTAATAATAACACCCAAACCCCCACACATGTTCATCTCAATAGATGCGGAAAAAGCATTTGACAAAAATCTAAGCTCTTTCATGGTAAAAAACACAACAAACTAGAAACTGAAGAGAATTTCCTCAACCTGATAAAGGGCATCTATGAAAATGCACAGCTAATATCACATTAATGGTGAAAGCCTGAAAGTTCCCGCTATAAGTACAGGAACAAGACAAGGATGTCAGCTCTTGCCACTTCCCTTCAACATGATACTGGATATTTTAGCCAGGACAATTAGGCAAGGAAAAGAAATAAAAGAGAGAAGTAAAACTATCTCTACTTGCAAATGACATAGTCTCATATATAAGAAACCCTAAGGAATCCAGAGACAACAACAGAATAAATCCCAAGTAGAGCTAATAAATGAGTTCAGCAAGGCTGAAGGATATAAGATCAATATAAAAATACAAATTCTATTTCTATACACTAGCAACAATCTGAAAATTAAATCAAGAAAACAATTCCACTTATAACAGCATCAAAAAGAACAAAACACTCAGGAATAAATTAAACAAAAAGGTACAAGACTTATACACTAAAAACTACACAATACCATTAAAGAAATGTTAAGAAATCTAAATAAATGGAAAGAAATCTCGTGTTCTTGGAGGGCCATATTGTTAAGATGGTATTACTTCCTAAACTGATCTACAGAGTCAACACAATCCCTGCCAAAACACTAGTTACCTTTCTTGAAGAAACTAACAGGTTGATTCTAAAACTCAGAACAATAAAAACAATCTTGCAAAAGAATAAAATTGGAAGACTCACACATACCAGTTTCAAAACTTACTACAAAACCACAGTAATCAAGACAGTATGGCACTGGCATAAAAACAGAACTGATATATTTATGGTCAATTGCCTTTCCATTAATAAGAAAGGTCTTTTCAATAGATGGTGCTGGACATCTGAATATCTAGAATGAATCTGGACCCATACCTCAAACCATATACAAAAATCCACTCAAAATATAAAAGCCAAAACATAGGCATAAATCTTACTTAATTTGGATGAAACAAAGGTGTCCTTAGATCTGACACCAAAAGCAGAAGTGATAAAAGAAAAAACAGATAACATGGACTTCATTAAAATTAAAAACTTCTGTGCTTCAAAGGACAACCATCAAGAACATAAAAACACAACCCACAGAATGGGAGAAAATATTTGCAAAGCATATATCTGATAAAGGACTTGCATCCAGAATACAAAAAACAAAAACAAAAAAAAAACAACCACTCAACAACAAAACCACAAACAACCCAATTTTTTATGTGGACAAAGGATTTGAATAAACATTTCCCCCAAGGAAATTACCAGTAATGAAACTCCCAACAAGCAAAAGCCCATCACCAGATAGCTTCACAGGTGACTTCTACCAAACATTCAGACAAGAGTTAACACCTATCCTCATCAAGCTATTCCAAAGAATTGAAGAGGAAGGAATACTTCCTGAACTCATTCTATGAGGCCAGCATCACCCTGATAGCAAAACCAGACAAAGATATGACTAAACAAGAAAATTATAGCTCAATATCACTGATAAGCATAGATGCAAAAAATCCTTAACAAAAGATTAGCAAACCATGATCAAGTGGTATTTATCCCAGCGATGCAAGGATTTTTCATTATGTGCAAATCAATCAGTGTGATACACCACATTAACAAAATGAAGAACAAAACCCATATGATCGTCTCAATAGATGCAGAAAAAACTTCTGACAAAAATTGAACATCCATTTATGACAAAAACTCCCAGAAAGTGGGCATAGAGAGAACATAGCTCAACATAATAAAGGCCAGATATGACAAACTGACAGATAATATTATACTCAATGGTAAAAGCTGAAAGCATTTCCCCTAAGATCAGGAACAAGACAAGGATGCCCACTCTCACCACTTTTATTCAACATAGTAATGGAAGTCCTAGCCACAGCACTCAGACAAGAAAAAGAAATAAAAGGAATCCAAATTGGAAAAGAAGAAGTAAAACTTCACTGTTTGCAGATGACATGATACTATACATGGAAAATATTAAAGATACTACCAGAAAACTACTAGAGCGCATCAATGAATTCAATAAAGTTGCAGGATACAAATTAACATACAGAAACCTGTTGCATTTCTATACACTAACAACGAAGTATCAAAAAGAGATATTAAGGAAACAATCCCATTCATCATCGCATCAAAAAGAATAAAATACCTAGGAATAAACCTACCTAAGTAGGTAAAAGACCTGTACTCAGAACTATAAAACAGTGATGAAAGAAAATGAAGATGACACAAATAGATAGAAAGAGATACCATGTTCATGGACTGGAAAAATCAACATTGTTAAAATGATTATACTATCCAAGGCATTCCACAGATTTAATGCAATCCCTATCAAAATACCCATGGCATTTTTCACAGAACTAGAACAAATAATTTTAAAATTTGTATGGAGACACGAAAGACCCCAAATAACCAAAACCATCTTGAGAAAGAATAGAGCTGGAGGAGTCAGACTCCCTGACTTAAAACTATAGTACAAAGCTAAAGTAATCAAATCAGTATGGTACTGGCACAAAAACAGACATACAGATCAATGGAACAGAATAGAGAGCCCAGAAATAAACACATGCACTTATAGTCAGTTAATCTATGACAAAGGAGGCAAAAATATACAATGGAGAAAAGACAGCCTCTTCAATAAGTGGTGCTAGGAAAAACTGGACAGCTGTATGTAAAAGAATGAAATTAGAACATTCTCTAACACCATATACAAAATAAACTGAAATGGATTAAAGACCTAAATGTAAGACTAGATACCATAAAACTCCTAGAGAAAAACATAGGCAGAACACTCTGACATAAATCGCAGCAGTATATTTTTGGATCCATCTCCTAAAACAAAGGAAATAAAAGCAAAAATAAATAAATGGACTGTACATCTGAAACTAACACAACATTGTAAATCAACTGTATTCCAATAAAAATTTTTTTTAATTAAAGAAAAAAAGGAACCTAATTAAACTTAAAAGCTTTTGCACAGCACAGGAAACCACTGACAAAACAAAGACAACCTACTGAATGGGTGAAAATATTTGCAAATTATATGACTGATAAGGGGATAATATCCAAAATATATAAACTTAACATTAAAAAAACAAACAACCCCATCAAAAAATGGGCAGAAGACCTGAATAGACATTTTTCCAAAGACGACATTCAGATGGCAAACAGACACGTGAAAAGATGCTCAACACTGCTAATCATCAGAGAAATGCAAATTAAAACCACAGTGAGGTATCACCTCATACTGGTCAGAATGGCTATCATCAAAAACAACACAACAGGGCTTCCCTGGTGGCACAGTGGTTGAGAGTCTGCCTGCTGATGCAGGGGACATGGGTTCGTGCCCCGGTCCAGGAAGATCCCACATGCTGCGGAGCGGCTGGGCCCGTGAGCCATGGCAGCTGAGCCTGCGCGTCCGGAGCCTGTGCTCTGCAACAGGAGAGGCCGCGGCAGTGAGACGCCCGAGTACCACAAAAAAACAAACAAACAAAACAACACAACAAATATCGGCAAGGATGTGGAGAAAAGGGAACCCTCGTACACTGTGGGTCAGAATGTAAATTGGTGCAGCCACTGTGGAAAACAGTTTGGGGTTTCTCAAAAAACTACAAATAAACTACTGTATGACTCAGCAATTCTTCTCCTGGGTATATATCCAAAAAAACCAAAAACATTAATTCAAAAAGATACATGTACCCCAATGTTCACAGAGCAGCATTATTTACAACTGCCAGGATATGGAAGCAACCTAAGTGTCCATCAACAGAAGAGGTGTTTTATACACACACACACACACACACACACACACACACAATGGAATACTACTCAGCCATAAAACAGAGTGAAATTTTGCCATTTGCAGCAACATGGATGGACTTGGAGGGCATTTTGCTAAGTGAAGTAAGTCAGACAAAGAAAGACAAATACTGTATAATATCACTTACATGCAGAATGTAAAAAATACAACAAACTAGTGAGTATAACAAAAGAGAAGCAGA